ATTTGCCAATGTTATCTCAGAGAAGGGTTCAATCTCCAAAATTTACAGGGAACTCATACAACTTAACAAAAGGAAGATAAACAATCCAATCAAAAAATGGGCAAAGGACGTAGACACTTTTTGAAAAAGGACATACAGAAAGCCAAGAGACATATGAAAACATGCTCTAAGTCACTAATCATCCGAGAGATGCAAATCAAAACAATGAGGTACCATCTCACACCTGTCAGAATGGCTATCATCAACAAATCAACAAACGACAAGGGCTGGCCAGGATGCGGAGAAAAAGGAACTCTTGTGCACTGCTGGTGGGAATGCAAACTAGTGTAGCCACTGTGGAAAACAGTATGGAATTTCCTCAAAATGTTAAAAATGGAACTCCCATTCGACCCAGTAATCCCACTTTTAAGAATATATGTCAAGAAATCAGAAACACCAATCAGAAAGAACATATTCACCTCTATGTTCATAGCAGCACAATTTACTGGTACAATAGCTAAGATTTGGAAACAGCCTAGGTGCCTATCAGCAGATAAGTGGATTAGAAAACCATGGTACAACTATACAATAGAATACTACACTGCTATAAAAAGAAGAAACTTTTATCATTTGCAACAGCATGAATGGACCTGGAGAGCAATATGCTAAGTGAAATAAGGCAGTCAGAGAAAGATCAATATCACATGATCTCACTCATTTGTGGAATATAATGAACATAAACTGATGAACAAAAATAGATCCAGAGACAGAGAAACACTGAATAGAAAGTCAAACCTCAGAGGGTTTCATATATATAGATTGCTGACTTTAAAAATCTTCTCATGACTCCCCAAAAAACAAGGATAACAAAATCAGGTTTTTATTCTGAAAACATAATTTTGACAGCAACAGCTAGTATAAGAATTGGTTGGGGGTTTTTTTGTTTGTTTTTTGGTTTTCTTTGGTTTATTCTCTCCCGAGGATATTTTTCCATTGATTTTATTGAGAGAATGGAGGGGGAGAAACAGAGAGAAAGAGAGAGAGAGAGAGAGAGAGAGAGAGAGAGAGAGAGAGAAACACCAATGTGAGAAAGACACATGGATTGATTGCCTCCCACATGGGGATTGAGCCTGCAACTGAGGTACGTGCCCTTGGCCACGATCAAACCTGGGACCCTTCAGTCCACGGGCCAATGCTCTAGCCACTGAGTCAAACTGGCTAGGGCAAGAATTGCTTTCTAAAATTTAAAATGCTTAACAAATATTTACCATCATAGGATTTTCCATTTTAATTTCTGTTAGTTGAAATTCTATTGTAATTACCCAAAAAAGTTCTATGAATTCAGTAACATTTTCCAATGAATGTTTGTCACTCACCATACATCTGGAAAGCAACAGTACAAAACCATGAGAGCTGCGTCTACAGACAACACTGGCATGCACAAGGATTCATGTGCACCAGGCAAACCCTTTCAGACCAGACACTAGGAGAAGGGATGCAGTTTACAGGAAAGAGGAAAACCACTCGGAAGGATTTTGCCTCTATCAATGGGGTACCTGCACAGTGCAATTCTTTCATGACTCAGCACCAAAGTTAAACATAGATGGTGACTAGAACATCCCTGGAGGATAAAAATGGGGGCTGGTGGAGAAACAGACCAGCCGGAAGCACTAGGGAAGGATTCATATTCGGTTGCCAGGCATGGCAATGAGCTCTGTTGGCATCCCTTCAGTCCTTCTGCAGGGTGACAGTGATACTAAAGAATCAAACCCAGAGATAACAGGAAGAGCAGGTGAGCAGGGAGGTGGTGAAGTAAGTTAGCCTCTTCTGCTCTAGCCGTAAATATTACTGTATTTAAACCTCAACCTAGACAGGTACGTTAACTCACACACCGGAAACAGGCGACCAACCAATGCAATGAGCCATATACCCAGTGTCCAATCTCACTGGTATTTTGACTGATTACTACAAGGCATGTTAATGCCTCAAAACAGAGAGACAGAGGAAGCTATTAGGCACAGAAAATTAAAAGGTGCTGCAGAGAAGGACTAAAATTAGAGGGTTCGCACTGCATTTTCTACCACTGCATCATCCACTCCATGACCTTCCTGAAATCAAGCTTCCCCTCTGCCTTTGCCTTCAAACCACTACATATTTGGTTTTAAACTAGTGTTTAATCATAAACCAGCTCTGCTACATTATTAATATTCCAAACAGCATTTTCAACCAGATAATATCCAACAGCATTATGTTGAATTACCTCAAAGAGTAGCATTCCTACATTTGTTTAGAATTGAAAACTAAACTAACCAGAGGTTAAGTATAAATATACTGTAAAGTATCTATGTACAATTTGAAATAAATAAAAACAAGAGTCATAAAATGATAATAATTGGCAGAATAACAACCACTAGCCCTTACCTCACTCCTTCGCCTTCCCTCCCAAGATAAAATAAATAAAACTTTAACTCTGATGTGGCAATAATACATTAGCTATATAAAAATCACAGGTGGAGAGTGGAAATGGCAAGGACATACTGACATGGACTCTGGTCACCAAAGTTTTACAAGGTTATTAGAGTTTCCTGACCTTGGGTTATTCAAAGCAGCAGCTAAGAATAAAGGTAGATCATATTATAGATAATGTACATATTATATAATGTACTATTATAATGCATATATGTCTATATATATACATACACACACACACACTCATATGAATGACCCACTTATGCTTCAATATATGTAAAGTATAGCAGAAAGAAAAAATGGAGCAAGAATATTAGCAAGCAAGAGAAAAATTTACACTATAATCTTCCTCACTTTCCAAAATACTTTATAAAATAGGCTTTGGAACCAATATTTTATCTTCAAATTAGGGGTTCTCAGAGTTAAAGAGGTTGTGGCCATGAGAGAGTCATTCGTTCGGCTTCTTTTGGCAAAAACAGTACTTTAAATTATGTGTTTTGGTTGTAAAGGCAAAGCTAAGGAGACAAGTAAATCTGGACACTGAAAATAAACCTAAAAGTGAACACACTGCTGTCACTTCAAGTGCCCACAGCAGAGCAGAGAGTATGTAAATATATAAATCCATTTATTCACATATCTGCAATAAACACACTGCCTTGCTCCCTGTGGCACCAGGGAAAAAAATCACTTATTTTAGCTTGATTAATTATATTAAAATCATATACCAAAACCTTTAAAAAGATTTGGCTCTCTGCTAATGATGAACAAAACATTAGAGTTGCCACATCATTGCTGAAAAACACTTTTAGATGGGGTGGGATGGGAGTGGGAAGATGAGCACATTTACCCTGCACTCTATCTTTTATCACAAAACACTTCCCCAACTTTTTTAAACATAAATTTCTCACAGAAATCCTACACAATTATGAGCAAGCTACAATAAACCAGGAATTTCCAGATTTCAAAAGTATGCATACTAAAAAGAAAATGTGTGAAATCATGCATAGCCACAGATTTCCTGAAGCAAATACACAACATGCAGATACAAACTCCACACGGGAGCCATGTGTGACCAAAAAAATGTCCCCATATGTCTTCCCTTCTCCCTCCCTCCATCCCCAACACTCAAATACAAAAAGGGGCATTTAATTTCTCTTCTAAAATTATACAACACAAACACTACTAATGGGAAATTACCTTTAGTAGCCCTGACTTTTCAAAGTTGATGAATGAGGGAAGTTACTTCTCTTAACTACATTGCTGGAATTTTTCCACTCTCAATTCAATTCAAAATACCGTGTTTATTCTTCTCCCAACCTCCCCATACACACCCCCCTTCACATCTTTCTAAGTCACCTTCAGATGCTCAAAGTTTCAGTCCAGAAAAGACACCAAAAGTTAATTTCTTAGACCTTCCCTACTGTCTAATGGATAATGCTACTCACATTTCACATTCCTTTATTTAGAGTAAAAAGTCTAACGTTGAAAGTTTATTCTCTTTTTTTTTTTCAACATAAGTATATTTATTTTAAGGACAAATGAATTATTTTTCAGCCCTTTGCTTTGGAATTCTTGAATATGGTATTTTTCCATAGCATAATCTTTAAACCTAATTTTCATTTTTAAATACTTTAAGACATATTTAAATATAAATGAACTGAATATGCATTATTAAATTTGAACTAAATAGGAATAAGCTAACACCTGACATCAATAACTCCTCAATGACTTCAAGGCAGGTGCAGGCAACGATTTTCTAACAAGCAATTGTCCTTGATTCACATCTGCTGGGAAGACTTCTTTAGCATCATTTAAAAAGTCACCTTTTTCATCCAGTAGAATGCATAATGGCCAGAAGCGATGGAGTTAACCTTCAACACATGTTAACCCTAAGATGTTGATGAAGAAGCCTCTAAAAGACCGTCTTCTTTTTTTAATGGGAAAGAAGGGGATGGAAGATCTTGCCTCTGAGGCACAGCTGGGAAAGTAACAACCCTTCAGTGAGGGACCCCAGGATATCTCATCTCATCAATGCAGACTTTGAATAAATACAAGCCCTGACCTCCACCCACCCCACCCCCATCCCCAGGGCTCCGGATTGCCCAGAGAACGCACCGCCCTAGGGCTACACTCCCCCACCAGCCCTCCCACACCACACACGCGCCCGTGCAGGCGTGCGTCGGGCATCTCCACATCTTCCACAGAAAAGCACCGCAGGACCCCGGGGCCGGCTCCGTCCCTCAGGGAGACACCCCGGGGGCCCGGTGCCTTCGCGGGCTGGTCCACAGGGATGCGCAGTCCCGGCACCCGGGTGGGTCGGCGCCGGAACGTGCCCTGGCAGAGGAGCTCTGGGCACCTCGGCGAGACCGTCGCGGGGGAGGGCAGAGTTAAGCTTCGCTGGACGTTAAAGAATCGGAGAAGCAGAACTTCCAAAGTCCCCCAACTGCACGCGCAAACCAGCCGGCAGCCAAGCGCCCGGGAAGAGGCTGAAGCGCCCTCGCCTCGCGACGCCCGCAAACCCGTGCGCCCAGGACGGGAGTAAAGGCACTCACCTCCACCCATCTCTGGGCTTCGGCGAACGCCACGGCGCAGCCGGCCTCGACCTCCTGCATCGCTGCCAGGACCGGGGCGAGAGGGGGAGAGAGACGCGTGGGCGCGGGGAGGGGCCGGGGTCGCTCGCGGTCTCGGCCGCCGCCCCAGCCTCGGCTCCGGCTGCGAGGCGCTCGGGTCCTCCCTCCCTTTGTTGCGCTCCGCAGATCGGTAAGACCTCGAACCTACAAGAACTTGAAGACGTGGCTCTCTCCGGACTCTAGAAATCTACCCCGGTTCCGCTGGGACACGAGCAGCGGGGAGGGCGACCCGTGGCGGCGCGCGGCTCCGACAACTGTTCGGACTTCAAAAGTCGCTGCAAGTCGCCGGGCGCCACTGCCCCTCCCCAATGGCCCCGCCCCAGCCCACCCCGGGCCGCCCAGTCTCCGCTTCCGTCCGCCCCCCTGCGGCTCCCCCGGGCTCCCCGGCCGCCACCGCCTTTGTGGTCAGCCTGTCTGGGCCCGGGATGCCACGGGCAGCCAGGGACCCGGGCTCGGGGCAAGCTCCCGCTCGCGCTGCCCGCCCGACCGCAGCTCTACTCTGAGGGATGCGCTCTCGGCCCGCATCCCTCTCGTCCTCGCCCGCCCGGCGCTCCTCTCTCTGGGGGCCGCTGGAACGGGTCCCCGGGCTCGAGCCGCTGAAACCAGAAATAGTTGACAAATTTCCCCTTCTCGGTAAGAGAGTTCTCTTGGCCGCGGACTCGCCAGCCATCTCTGTACTGTGTCGACCGGGCGGGGGTTCTGTCCAG